TTTATATCTGGTAGGAAAATGAAAGGAATTTCTTAAAATACACTAGGCTTATTCTAGTATACCAATATACTTATTAGGAAAATTTCTCATAGAGATAATTAAGTGTGAAATATTTTTATTCATTTTTCACTTTAATAATTCTTTGGATTAAATACAGTGGCTTTTGTGCTTATGTGCTTCACATATATAGCACATAGAGTTTTCTTAAACTCCTAAATGAACATATTTTGATTTTTTTAAATTGTGTGAATAATAGTTTCTTTTTTGGCCTTTTTTTTTTTAACTTTTCTGGTGCTTTTGTCAGATGATTAATGAAAGCAGATTTCCACTTTCAGGGTTAGTTACTATAGGATAGTCAACTTCTTTAGCTTTCAAAGATAACTACAAGTGTGAAGTGAACTGCAAGTATATTACTGGTGGTACTCTCTTATGACAGCTCTTTCAGATGCTTGTGATATTGACATATTGATACATCAAAAGATCATATGAATTTTATTTATTATTAGAAATTTTAAAAAATCCTCAAACACTTTCATCTATTTGGATGAAAGATGGTACCTTTATGCTTTATAATTTTGTGTCTACCTTTAATGCTGTTTTAGGATAAATACACTGTAACTAAAGTTTTAGGATAAATATACTTTAAAGTAGCCATATGTTATAAATACTTTTGAAATTAACCTTTTGAATGTGTTTTCTAAAAGAATTTTATGATTAAACCAGATTTTATGATATTCATGGATATGCATTCTGTGATTTTAGTGATGATAGAATCAGTAGAGCAAAATAAGCTAATTAGGTGTATGTGTTCAGATTTTTAGCTAGTGACAAGATAAGGAGAAAATGATTTTTTAAACTTAGTAAATCCTTAGTAGTAGAGATACTCTTGGAAGGATTTGACCTGGTGTAATGATTGCGTGACCTTTTGTGTCCATTTTTATTTAGTTAGTAATTCCATTAACTACTCAAGATGACTTGGACAAAGCTGTGGAACTGCTTGATCGTAGTATTCATATGAAGAGCCTAAAGATATTACTTGTAGGAAATGGAAGTACACAGGTAGGAAGTGGAATAATTTTTAGTTATTCCTCCCCCCCTAAAGATCTTTGTACTTATAGCTATATGAAACATATTTTATAATCATTGATCATATTTTTCAGTGGGATTGATTGTCAACTTTCATACTGTATTTGCTATTGTTTTATATCTTGGTTCTTTAGAAGCATATAGCCAGAATTACAAATAAGCATAATGGAAGTTGAGAACTTGAGGATGATTAAATTTAAATTAAAATGTCAAAGAGTAGAAGAGACTTACAAATAATATTTGGTAGGGGAGATAATTCTCTTGAAAGGTCTTAAGGGGAGAATAGCATTAATTGTAAATTTTCCATTACAGGCTACTCATTTAGAACCACTGCCATCACTAGAAAATTTAGCTAACACAGTATTTGGAGCAGAAAGGAAAAAACAGCTTTCTGTGATAGGTAAGAAAATTGGTGTCTAAATTATAAAATGGGTGATTTATCAATTCTTTTTCCTCCATCCTGTAAGGCAGCACCTAAACATCCAGGACAGAAACTCGTTGTCCAGTTGATTCCGATTCATATTTGTCCTGTGAAGTTTCTAAAGCCATAATTCTTTGAAGACAGAAACTACCATATCTTTTTCCTTTGGAGAGACTGGTGGGTTTGAATTGCTAGCCCTTCAGTTAACTGTTGAGTGTTTTAACCACTGTGCAACCAGGATTTCTTGTACCTAAACATACGCTGTTGTTGTCATTATGTGCCGTCGAGTCGCTTATGACTCATAGCGACCCTATGTACAACAGCCCTAAACTATGCTCTGTCTGTCCTGTGCCAGTCGCACTGTCTCTGACACTTCCATCCTGATTGACCCAGTCACTGAACCAGTCCACCTCATGGAGGGCCTTCCCCTCCTGCGCTGTCCCTCCACCTTCCCAAACATGATGTCCTTCTCCAAGGACCAGTCTCTCCTTACAACATGTCCAAAGTATGTTAGACGGAGCCTCAGAATCCTTATGCCTGATAATACCAGCCTTGATCTTACTCTACATTTACCCTAGTTAGCTAGTCTCTAGTGTTTGAGGTCCTTTGGAAATTCATCTTCATTGTTAAAGGATTTGTTGTTATAGTATGCTGCCAAATTGAACCCAACTCATAACAACCTCATATGACAGAATTGAATTGCCACAATTTGCAGTCCTAGTTTGCCATCTTCATGGAAATAGATCACCAGAGCTTTTCTCCTGTGGAGCAGCTGATAGATTTGTACTATTGATCTTTCCATTAACATCTGAATGCTTAACCATTGTGCCCACCATACAATGATCAGTCTTCACTTTATTTAAATGTTTGATAATTTCAGATAAAACCTTTTTTTTTTCCTATAATTATATTTTATTAATTTTCATAAACATTTACAGAGATTTTGGGCTTCCACTCATTCATTGTTGCACTATTCTCTCT